ATATTTGTCTGAAAAAAATATTCAAATGGTTATGAATATAAGAATAAACGAAACATAGGTGAACTAGCTCATGACTTGTCTTGTTTGTTATTCAGTTGTACAGACAGACAGTATTAGATATTTTCAAATTGTTTCACTCTTCTCTCAGCTAAAAAGACAGCAAGTTCGACGCAAATTGGCTGTAACCATCTAGGGTGTCTCCAAATACTTCCAATGGACTTGTATGTTTTGACTTCTTTGAAGACATGTTCAACTTTTACGCGCAAAACGTTTGGGCATGCCTCCTGTCTCTACGAGGATACCAGTTGCAGAAATGACTGTGGTTTCTCTCCTGTGTTCCTTCAAAATAGTCACTGCTGTCCAGATATCTTTGAAAAAACATCTCGCCCTTGAAATCCGTGGCCTCTAAACAAAGGCATAAGCCGTTGTTTAAGATCATATTTATCAACAATTAGAGGTGGTTGTGTTGTAATCAATAGCAATAAAAATGCTAGCAAGCGCATCAAAATGGCTTGCAACTCCATCGTTCATCGAGGGAAAATTCAACAGTTTTTGTGATACGCCTACAAAATGTTGTGGGCGTTTTTGCGATAACGAACATTCTATGCATCTCGTTATCTTGTGCATTGGAACAAGAGAATTTTCACTATGTGTGATATTTGCTGGAATGTAGCAACTTTAGATATCAAGCTTCTATTGTCCAAGTGCATGAGATATCAGGAATGTTGACAAATATTCATTGCAACACAAATATCTTATCATTTGCAATCGGTCCTTGCTTCAAGTCAGTCTTAAAAAACGTTTCAGCAAAGCTCAGTTAAAATGTAGCGTCCATGGGAGGAAGAACAGTCATCGTCGTCGTTGAAAGTTGAAGGTAGGAATTCTTTTCCAGTGAATTGTATAATATTATTATATCCTTATTAAAAGTAACAYTGTTTAAAATCCCATTTAATTCTACCTTCGGTCCTCGTGTCCTGAATAAACGAGCAAACGTTGGCGATAAGGAAAGGGATTTAATTCTGCAATGTTACAACCAAAATACTGGAAAGAAATGGAGCGATATTTTCGCGCTTTGTAAAGCTAAAATAGTAGAGATGCTGGAGTGCTCCAACGTGTTGTTCAAATCTATCTTCAAAGTTCAGAGAGCCGCGTAACCACAAGAATAAAAAATATCGTCAAGCGAGCTATACAGTCCGCTCCTTGTTTGTCCGAATCCAAGGGAATTGATGAGGTGTCTGTAAATCAGCAAATGAAGTACGCAGAAAAAAGGTCACCAAACCAGCKAAAGAACGATGCCGTCAAACTACGCAAAGAATTCAATTCTGATAGTGAAAGTGTTTCAGACACTACAAAGAAGCCAGTAAAGAAAAGAAAGTTAGACAAAAATAAGGAGGCTCAAGAAGTCCATACGAAAATGTGTCAAAAAGCCATGGACAGAGTAAATTGTATTCTTGACAAAGTAATGTGCAATGTGTTTAGAAACTTCATGTTCGCAAATATGTACAGTACAAATTCGCACTTGTTAAAACTATTAATTAAGATATAACATTGAAACAACTAGTAGAGAGTAGCAAAAAATGCTTTTCTTTATTGATATCTCGAAATGTTTAGTTGATCTGCATGTTACTTCTCATAGAGACCTCATTAGCATCTTAACTGCGCTATAGAGACCTCATTAGCATCTTAACTGCGCTTATGTGAAAACGTTCTATTCAGTACTGATGATGAACTCATAGTTCGAAAGCGTTCGACATTTTATAAATCATTTTGTGCCTTTCTCTTAATGCAACAATTTCTTTCCTTTTGGCGATTGAAATAAAATATTATAAAATATTTATTTCATGGCACCACACCTTTATTTTACACCATTAAGGTATATAGCATATGTTTACCTTAAAGTATTTTCCTGCTAATTCATACTTTATTTTTAGCAATAAATTGTGGTACTCTGATTGCTCCGATAAATGGTACGATTAAAGGTACAGACTTCACCTTTCCCAATGTTGTGGAATTCGCGTGTGACAAAGGCTTTGATTTGATTGGTCCATACAATCGTCTCTGCCAGGCGAATGGCTCATGGAGTGGCGGAAACACAGTTTGCAAAGGTAAACTATGGTCATTATACAATAGTTTTGATGGTGTGAGAAATTACATACATCTCCATTAATAGATTCTTATTGATATGAGCTCATTGATATAAGATATAGGCTTTCGATTAATTATATCATCTAATTGAACTTTTCCATATAKTCATTGTTCATTGAATATTTTTTTGGAATTTACAATAGAAAGTGCATAAAAAAGAAAAACGTTTTGTGGAAAATTTTTAAGTAATCATCCATCCATCCATCCAGCTAAACAGATTAGCATTGAAACTTAATATTTTCTAATGCGTTGTTTATCGTTATTTTTTGTTATTATTTCTGTCTGTATGATGTCTATATGCAGCATTTTTTTGTGCGTGGCTATTATATTACTCTTTTCCTGTGCATGATGCGTACTAACCATGACCACTTCCCCCGAAGCTCCTACCGAAAATAAGAATTTCAGGACTCATTAGTTGCTTACTGCTTATCTGGAGTTTGTAATATCTGGTCGATACTGAGAGAAAGGTAACATACTCCCTATGGAATTACAATGAAGCATATACTGCTCAAACGTTAATCATCATCTGATGCAGCTTAATGCTGTTATACCAGCTAATTTAAAACATTATTATATATACGACTAATCTAATATAATAGTTCATGCTGTTCATAATTAGAAAATCTTGAATTGAAATATAGTTTCCTACTGAGCTTGATCCATGCTTTTCTCGTACTGCTAAAGAGGTAAAAATGATAAGCACATCGTTGTAAATTAATAAAAGTAACATTATATTGTTATGATGGCAAGTACATGTATGTTACTTTGACTGAGTGAAAAATTGATCTTCAGCTGTAGATTGTGGTTCTCTTGATGCTCCAACAAATGGTTCCATGCACGGTTTGCTCACTACATTTCCAAATACTATCACTTTCGCTTGTGACAAAGGCTTTATCTTGAAGGGATCCTCTTATAGAACGTGCCAGGCAGATGGAAAATGGAATGGTGACAAAGCGTTCTGTCGTGGTAAGAATAAATCAAGTTCTTTTTACTGAAATGGTACAAGTAACAGTTGTACATTGATTATAGCAATCGACTGTGGACGTCTTGATGCACCACTCAATGGGTCAAAGATAGGCTCGTTGACAATTTTCCCAAACAGAATATCGTTCTCCTGTGATATGGGCTTTCTCATGAGTGGTTCTATAAGTCGAAAATGTGAGGCTAATGGCAAATGGAGTGGGTTGCCAACAAGGTGTGAAGGTGTGATGTTCATGTATATAGTCTCAAAATATTTTCATCTTAAATGCTACAACACCTCATAGCTGAACTTAATATGTTTCTGATCGCACAGCTGTTGACTGTGGTCATTTAGCAGTACCTCTCAATGGATCACGTCTTGGGAAGCTTACGGTATATCCTAACACCATCAACTTTGATTGCGACAATGGATTTGATCTTACTGGTTCTGCTGTAAGACGGTGTCAATCAAACGGATCATGGAGTGGAATGCCTGTGAATTGCAAAGGTACGAGTACCTCATCTTATAAAACCTTCACTTTTCTAGACTAAGTTTTATCCTATTTATCAATAGCTGTTGACTGTGGTTCACTCGATGTTCCACAAAATGGATCGGTTCATGGAACACTGACTTTATTTCCAACTGTGATCAAGTTCAGTTGTGATGAAGGTTTTGTACTTCGTGGCTCATCTTCTCGAGCTTGCCAAGTGAACAGAATGTGGAGTGGTACAGCGACGAAATGTGAAGGTGAACTTTTGAAAACTCAATGAGTTGTACTATATGTGCAATTCCAATAATCAGAAAGTTCTTTACATTTTATACTAGCTGTAAACTGTGGTGTCCTTGCAATACCCCTTAACGGGACTATGATAGGAACTGCGACAGTATTTCCCGAGACGGTACGATTCCAATGTGACGACGGTTTTGAGTTGATTGGATCGTTTGAGAGGCAATGTCTGCCGAGTGGTAATTGGAGCGGGCGTCAGCCTACCTGTAGAGGTAAAACTTTGTATGCTTTTATGTTTCTATTTAACAACGTGAAATAATTGTTATACATTGTTGCAGCTGTTGACTGTGGCTCACTCGACGTTCCACAAAATGGTTCTGCCCATGGATCACTTTCTACATTTCCTAATATAATCAAATTCAGTTGCGATGAAGGGTTTTTTCTTCGTGGATCTTTGTCTCGAAACTGCCAGGCAAACATGACTTGGAGTGGAACAACAACACGATGTGAAGGTAAATTGCATTTATATAAAACAAATTAAACAAGTATATTAATGTTAAATGTACTCATGTTATGTACTTCTGATGTACTTTGTATGTTATCTGGTGCTTTCATCAGCGGTGGACTGTGGTGTTCTTCCGATTCCCCTGAACGGCTCGATGTACGGAACTGCAACAGTATTTCCTGAGTTCTTAACGTTCCAATGCGACGACGGTTTTGACTTGATGGGGTCTGCCAAGAGGCAATGTCTTTCAAGTGGGAGATGGAGCGGACGTAAACCTGTGTGCATACGTAAGACAGCTTGATAGTATAGAATTATATTTTCATTTTCTTGTGTCTAAAGCAATGTTATATATACTTGTTATAGCTGTAGACTGCGGCCCACTTGATGTTCCACACAATGGTTCATTTCAAGGATCTTTGACGGTGTTTCCTAATGTGATCAAGTTCAGCTGTGACAAAGGCTTTCTTCTTCTTGGATCTCAATCTCGAACTTGCCAAGCAAACAGGACATGGAGTGGAACGACGACACAATGTGAAGGTACTTATGTCCCGACAAGTGTAATTTTTACGAGGCGCTATTATGACATTTAGTATAGGACTTTAAAATATAGTAAAGTAAACATTACAAGTGAATTAGGGAAGTCCAAGGCTAGGTTTGGGTGGTCGCGCTTAGAACTTAGAACGAGGTGAAAAAGTATTTTTAGTTATATTTTCATATTGGAGAGATGTGGTRCCATCATCCAGGGGCACATCTCTCACGGGATGCTTCAAAACAGACAAAACCAACCATTTCCAGAGTGTTCTAATCCCAGAAAAGGAAAGGATTGGCTGCATGCAAATTCATGTGGGGTAAATTTTTTAAAATACCTCAGGTAAAACCCCAACACTGTCTGATTGTAGCACATATAAGCCGAACAGATTTGTAGTAAAAGATAGAAGAAGAAAATGTAAAAGCAGATGTAGAAGCAAGTGTGAAAGCAGTAAAAGTAATAAAGAGCAAATCAACAAATCCACGGTGCCTAACATAATATGTCAATAACGTTTTGATGATTGATTGAACTATTATCTCCACTAGCTGTTAACTGTGGTGTCCTTCCAAATCCTCGGAAAGGTAGCATGATAGGAACTGCGACAGTATTTCCAGAGACGGTAAGATTCAAATGCAACGAAGGTTTTTACTTGATTGGCTCTGAGGAGAGACAATGTCTATCAAGTGGAAAGTGGAGCGGTCGTCAGCCAATTTGTAAAGGTAGAGCTAATTGTATTGTATTCTTGTCCCTTTGGACGCTTTRTTAGTTGCTACTATTTTTTTCTACAGCTGTAGACTGTGGCCCACTMGATGCTCCACAAAATGGTTCTGTTCATGGCTCTCTTACTGTGTTTCCTAATGTGATCAAGATCGGCTGTGATGAAGGTTTCCTTCTTAGGGGTTCTTTATCTCGTACTTGCCAAGCAAACAAAACATGGAGTGGAAAGATGGCGCACTGTGAAGGTAAGGAATTATATGCTGACAAATAGAATTCAATGCAAACTCAATGGACAATGATTGAAATAAATTAACAAAATCCTTCTCTCGATAGCCATTGACTGTGGACCACTTTCGGCTCCAATAAACGGAACACTTGTCGGCGAAAAAACAGTTTTTCCAGAACAAGTGAAATTTTCATGTGACAAAGGATTTGATTTGCTTGGAAATGAAACGCGTAAATGTCTCCCGACTGGCAAATGGAATGGACGGCAACCAACATGCAAAGGTAAACACGTTTTGAGTGTTAGTTTCTAATGATTGTAAATATTCACAGAACTACGTTCTTTTTTGTGGGTTCGATGTCATTTTTTTTACTATTCAGAGAGGCCGTGTGTAATCTTTAGCTTCACCTTCCGTACTCGTAAATATCTCTACATCACTTTGTATCTATAAGTATATTACAACAATTTATAAATAAAACATAGAAATATAAAAAAATGTCTTTATGCAATGTCCTAAGTTTATAGACAATGACAAACAAAAAATCTAAAGAGAAAAGGTGGCTCATCCTTTTTACAGCTGTAGACTGTGGTCCACTTCAAGCACCGCGGAATGGCTCTGTTCAAGGGTCTACTGTAACGGTGTTTCCCAGTGTAAAAACGTTCAGCTGTGATATTGGTTTTTTACTTCGCGGTTCTTCCTCTCGAACTTGCCAAGCAAACAGGACGTGGAGTGGAACAACGGTGCAATGCGAAGGTAATCAATAAATGGAAATGCTGTGTTATCGATAAATATACAGACATGGTATAAGAATTGATCATTTTGTTTTGTAGCCGTTGATTGCGGTGCTCTTGATGTGCCAAAAAATGGATCGATGTTGGGTGCAAAGACAGTTTTTCCAAATAGCGCAAGTTTCGCTTGTGACGACGGATTTGACCTGGTTGGTTCCTCTTTGAGAATGTGTCTATCAAATGGAATGTGGAGTGGTAATAAGACATTATGTCAAGGTACAACAATTGAAATAGCTAAATTGTAATTTCATGTTTTTACAAGTTCGTTGAGGAATTTAGAATAAACTTTGAAGATAGTCGAGATAATTACCTGCGATGTACTTATTCTGATATGCAAAATACATTTCGCTTTTCGCGCAACAACGCCTGAAACTGGCATGTTTGATTCTTTGTAGCTGTTGATTGTGGTCCCCTGGCACAGCCACGAAATGGATCAATATATGGATCATTGACTGTTTATCCGAACGCACTCTTTTTAACATGTGATGAGGGTTTTCTTCTTCGCGGGTCGAAATCACGTGTTTGTCAAGCCAACAGGACATGGAGTGGCAGTCAAACGTCTTGTGAAGGTGCCAAGTTGAATTGCATACAGTACGATTAAATCCTGATATTGATGCAACTTTTGTTATATTATTCTACATAGCTATTGAYTGCGGACCACTGCCTATACCCAAGAATGGGGCGATGATGGGAAATAACACAATATTTCCAAATAGCGTCAAATTTAAATGCGATATTGGATTCCTACTTAGTGGATCTTCTGTACGTTATTGCTTATCCCGTGGAATATGGAGTGGCAAAAAAACTACTTGTGGAGGTCATTATTTAAATTGAATAATGTAATTTAAATTAAGCAATAATTGCTTCAAGAGAATATCGGTAATTGATGACCATATCTTGCTTTACTTCAACAGCTGTTGACTGTGGTCCACTCGATGTTCCACAAAATGGTTCTTTCCAGGGTTCTCTGACTGTCTTTCCCAATGTGATCAAGTTTGACTGCAATGAAGGTTTTGTTCTCCGTGGTTCATCACGTAGGGTTTGTCAATATAATAAAACTTGGAGTGGTAGTTTAACACTATGTACAGGTATGTATAGAGTCAGGTAAGAACGAGGTTACTTAAATGTATGGATGGATTGGTGAATGAATTCTCTCAAAATACTTATAATTATTTAACTAAATGTTGAGGGAATAAAAATACAGTCGTTCATATTATAGGATGGACATTAATTCATCCTCTATTCATCTAGCTGTGGACTGCGGTAAACTTGATGTCCCAAAAAACGGTTCTAGTCAGGGATCTCTGACTGTATTTCCGAATATGATCAAGTTTAATTGCGATATTGGTTTTGTACTTCGCGGTTCTTCCTCTCGTACTTGCCAAGCAAACAGGACGTGGAGTGGAACGACTGCACGATGTGAAGGTTTGTTTAAGATTCTTTAATTTCGACTCATTATTATTACTTGCTATTTAATGGTTAAAATCTGTGTTTGATATATTTATCTTAGCTAAAGATTGCGGTCTACTTAAGGCTCCAAGAAACGGTTCTGTATTTGGAAACCAAACATTCTACCCAAACAAAATGATGTTTTATTGTGATGACGGATTTGACCTGCAAGGATCTGCAATACGAACCTGCCTTTCTAGTGGGGTGTGGAGCGGTTATGAAACAACATGCAAAGGTAATCTTACTACTATGTACAAGCTTGATCTTATTTCAAAGTATGATGTTATGATCTATTTCCAGCTGTCGATTGTGGCTATCTTGGTGTTCCTCTCAATGGGTCTCGACGAGGACTATCGACAACGTTTCCCAATGTCATGAAATTTCAATGCGATGAAGGTTTCATTCTTTATGGGTCATCATTACGAGTCTGTCAAGGCAACAGAACGTGGAGTGGACAAAAAGCACAATGTATCGGTAATGCTCATGGAGATAACATATACGGAAACACGAACTTSTTTTCAACGTGAGCGTCTTTCCATTCTCTACTTTACAGCTGTTGACTGTGGCCAACTTGATGTTCCACACAATGGTTCGCGTCAAGGATCATTGAGCGTCTTTCCGAACGCTGTGAAGTTTAGCTGTGACAAAGGATTCGTTCTTCGCGGCTCGTCGTTTCGTGTTTGTCAGGCCAATGGGACGTGGARTGGACAGTTGACAGTATGC